AAGAAGTCAAACAATAGAAATCACAATGAGACACACCTGAAGTGGCCTGGAAAAATGTTTCCACCCCTAGCCAGACACTTAAGGTTGTATCCACATCAATGAATTTGTCAAATGAGCAGATACTTTGTGATTTCCAAAGCCAGCTGATAAAATCTTTAAGGGCTAAAATCGGATTGGGAAAAATATGAGAAGTAGTAAAAGTTGAATGAAATCTTAGAAGGTTTAAACAGATTTTCTTTCAACTACAGTTATGTTTTATGATATACAGGCTTAAAATAATTCCCAAGAGATTTTAGGTAACTTATTGATGTTAAATTGAGTTAATAGATATTTGTCGTAATTTAAGCTTATATACTTTGGCTTTTTATGGCACAAGAGAAAGGATAGACAGATATATATATATATTTACGTCTGCTGATAAGTGTGTTCATTTCTGCCATTTTAAAGAGATACACTATAAGAGATAAGCAACAAAGGCAACATTTAAGAGGTTTATTGAAAAAGAAATTTATTTGATATGGTCAAGTTTTATCTGTCTGACTTAAGTTTAATGGTTTAATTTATGAGATTTTTAGGAGTTTTAATGTTAAGTAGCATATAAAACAAAGAATTGGGTTTCTCGCAGTTAAAGTAACAAAATTTTCTTTGATTTCTGAGTTGAAAGGTTAATTTATTTGTGTAATCTGCCTGGAAGACAAAGGTTTGGCCTCATTAGAATAAAATGCCTGAGTCTGAATATTAAGCCACGTGGCTTTTAGAAAGGAAAGCTAAGGTTTTTACTTTAAGATCTTTGGTTAAATAACTTAAGTATTGTTTCACAGTGACCTATATTATTATTATTTCTTTACTGTTAACTTGGTTGCAACTTTATCTTTTTGAATCTAGCATCATCAAAGCCAATTGTTTGATTGGGGAATTCACATCATTTACCTATGAAGTTTTTTTTAATTACTGTTCAGGTATTTAGAGATTTGATAATCTTGGTATATATTAATATATCCTGACTATATGGTATTTTGTCTCAAAATTATTATGTATTATATCTGAAGCTCTTTAAGAATACGGTTAATGGTTATATTTAGAAATATTTTTATATAAAGTTTTTTTTTAAACTAATTTTATTTGGCCTTTACCTTGTGCTTGTAATTAATTTCTATTGGATCTTTTACTATTAAGAATATTATTTTTATAAATTAATAATGGCCATGTTAAGTTTTGTCATCTGAAGATAAGTTTTTTCTTTGCTGATTTGTTGAAAACGTTTGACCAAAATATCTCAACAAAAAAAAATGGACTATACTGGACTTGTGAAAAATACTGTGCCTAGTCTCAATCAAGATTTCCAGAACTCTTAGGCAAAAACTGATGAGTTCACAGACTGCTGCTATCCAGAATGACGTGGAACAGAAGTTAAGTACATAAGACTGAGTAAACGAAAGGAAACTATGGGTTTTATGTGGGAATATTGCTGATGTTTTAAGGTCCTAATTTCTGGATATAAGAAACTATTTTCCTTTCTTTTAAATTACCTAACTAATGGGTTTAGATATTGTAACTCTTGAATTAGAAGTTCTTACTGGTAAACTTAGCAAAATTGTAAACATCATAACCAGAGAAGTGTCTGAAATTTGAGCTATGATTTTACAAAATAGAACAGCATTCGATTTCCTATTATTTCGCCCAAGAAAAAGTTTTGTGCCTTAATAGGTAAATGTTGCAGTATTTATATTACTATTCAATCTGAGGTTTTGCAGAATATAGTCGCTATTGAGGCACATGAAAAACAGTCACTAATGCTGCTTATGTATAGACAAACACCTCATGAGATTTGTTTCCTTGGTTCAAAGACCTTAGGGTCATGGTTTCATTGGTTATTTCAGATAATTGGCCTAATATAATTGTTAGTGTCTCTGTTTTATTTCCTAGTTTGCTGTATGGTACTTGGGATTTTAAAAACCATATGACGCCCAATTACCATTTATTGAGCACTTTTGATAAAAGATTCTATAGCAAGATCATGATCCAAAGGAAAGAATGATGAGAGAGTTGTATATAATGCTCCTGGAATCCAGATTTCTGGTTTTCATGGCGATTGGGGCAACCCACA